CCACCCCCCCCGGTCACAGGGGAGCAGGAGGCACCCGCCCTCCCAGCCCCACGCGTGGGGGTGGGGAAGGAGGGTTGCGGGCCCCCCCGCACTCACGCGCTGCGTCCACGCGGCCTCCAGCCGGGCAAAGGGAGGCGGTTCCCCCGCGCGGGGCATTCTGGGCCGCGGCTCCGACCAACCGCGGGGGGAGGGGGAGAGAGGCACCGGGGACATCGCACGCCCCGCCCCCCCCCAGCGGCTGCGGGAATGGACCGGCCCGAGGTGCGCATGCGCGCCTTATGCCTAGCGGCATCTCCCCCCCCTCCCGGGGGAATAGAACGTTCCGCTATACCCGCCGCCACCCCTTCACCAACATCATGGAACGAGCCAGACACCCCTCCCCCCGGTAGGAATGGACCAATCCCAGCGGTTAACAGGGTGCCGAGCCAAAAGCACCCACTAACGGCAGCTGGGAGAGTGGTGGGAGAACACAAAACGGAAACGTTCTACCGCGCATGCGCACTCCGCCCCCTCCCGGACAGACATGGAACAGCCCAGGCCCCTACTAGGATGCCTAGTTGGAAGCATCCACCCACAGTAGCTGGGGGAGAGAAGAGAAATAAATATTGCACCGCGCATGTGCCCTCCACCCCTCCCTCCCTGGCAAGCATGGAACAACGCAAGCAGCCAGTAAAGTGCTGAGCCGGAAGCACCCACTCATAGTAATAGGGGGAAGAGAGAAAGAAACATTCCACTGCACATGTGCGCTCCACCCCTCCCTCCCTGGCAAGTATGGAATAACCCAAGCCCCCACTGGGATGCCCAGCCGGAAATACCCATTCACCAGAGGGCAGAGAGAAAGAAATGTCCCACCGCGCATGCTCTCTTCACCCCCCTGTCTGGCAAACATGGAACAATCCAAGCAGTCAATGAAGTGCTGAGCCGGAAGCACCCACTCACAGTAGCTAGGAGACTTGAGAAAGAAATACACCCCCCTTCCTGGCAAACATGGAACAACCCAAGCCCAGCCGGAAGCACCCACTCGCAGTAGTTGGGGGAAAAGAGAAATAACCCCCCCTTCCCCGGCAAACATAGAACAACCCAAGCCTTCACAAGGAAGCCCATCCGGAAGCACCCATTCACAGTAAGGGGAGAAGGAGAGAGAGAAGCACTCCACTGCGCATGTGTCTGCCACCCCATCCCTGGCAAACATGGAACAACCCAAGCCTTCACTAGGAAGCCCAGCCGGAAACACCCACTCACAGTAACTGGGAGGGGAAAGAAACGTTCCACCGCGCATGCGCCCTCCACCCCCCTCCCGGCAAGCATGGAACACCCCAAACCTCCCCTAGGGTGCCCAGCCGGAAGCACCCACATACAGTAAAAGAGGGGGGGTTGGAACAGAACATTCCACCTCTGGGGGGGGGGGAGGGGAAAACCCCGCGCATGCGGCG